AGAGAGAGAGAGAGAGAGAGAGAGAGAGAGAGAGAGAGAGAGATGATTTTGGTCAGATCTGAGATCCCGTCTTAGATCTGGTCCTGACCAGATCGCAGATCTGTTCTTAGTACTTAGAAAGTCTAACTTCAAAGTTCAAAGTTCTGTTTTTTTCTGGTTTTCGTAGTCTGTTTCTGAAGTGACTTGGGGGATTGGTCTGTTGAGAACTGGTTTCAAGTGTTGTGTGAGCCTTTGCGAATGTCTGTGACAGTATTGACTCTATTGAGCTGTCAAGTTGTGAATAGTGAAAGACAGTAAGCTGTGGGTAGTACTGCCTATTAGGCTATTACTAAGGTTTTTTTTTTTTTTTTTTTTTTTTTTTCCCTTCCATTCTGGACATTTTTGTGTTGGTGTACCGGACCGGACGGTCCGGGTCCGGTCATGTCCGGTTGTCCGGTGCCTGTCCGGATTACCGGACTTCTGGACCAGTCCAGACAAATGTCTGGGCCTCGGTCCAGACATGTCCGGGTCCAGGTCCGTGGTTGCCATGATTTTTTTACTCTTTTTTTTTTTCCTCTGTTAATTTGGTGTCCACTCTATGGACCGGTGACAAGTCTGGCTTAAAAAAAGGTGTGGGATGTTTGTTATAATTTAACGCTGAAAAAAACCTGAAATTTTATTTAGGGCTCTGTAAACATCTCATTGTTTGTTGGGATCATCATCTCCTGGGCCAAGGTCCCACTAACACTGATTTCTCGTACCTGGCTGTTGATCTTCGGCATCTTTTTTTCTTTTTTTCTTTTTTTTCTTTTTCCAACCGGTAGTCATAAATACGAAGAACTGTTGTTGTTTTCTTCTCTTGTTTTTTTTTTTTTTTTTTTTTTTTCCTTGTTTCTCAAGGGCCTTGAGATGTCATAACTCGAAATTCAGTCATCTTCTTGAACTGGAGTTTGAACTGAGGTCTGTATTTCAACAGGTCGTTCGGGGGGGATGTACCAACTGAGCTAAGTAAGTTGGTCTGTGGTTGGTTTTTTATCATCCTTCAGGGAAGACAAGGGTGGGCTAGTCAGGCTGCCAAATGGGGACACGTTTTTCGGCGAATACGACAAAGATGTGCGCACTGGGCTGGGAATCTATCTCTTTGCGGATGGGGGGATGCATGCTGGACACTACGAGAAAGGGCGTCGGAACGGTGATGGCTGGATGCTTATGCCGGATGGGTCGACGTATGAAGGTGGGGGGAGGCTCGTTTTCCTCTTTTCTACTTTTGTTTTTGGAGTAAACGTCATCGGATGACAGTCCATGCGACAGAGGTGTAGGAGGGAATGGTTTGTGTAATTTTCCGGGTAGACTGTGAGGAGCCTGTAATGATAAATGTAAGCCTGGCTTCCCCCCCCTCTCTCTTCCCCTCTCCCCCCCCACCAAAAAAAAAGAGAACCAAAGTGAAGGTGGGGACCATCAAGGCTATCAAAAAGTTCTTCTAAAGGACATGAAGTAAGTTTCAGCACCTTTGTTTACAAAGGAGCCTCCTAGGCCATAAGGTGGAGTTTTTTGTTAAGCCACCAGTACCTTTCCCAGCTCGGAAAACAAATATGCGCCCGTTAACACGGGCAACTTTCGATGGTTCAGGTACCAGACTGAAATGGCTGGTGGTGCCAGCCAAAATGAGGCCTGTGCCAGTTCTTTTTTTTTTTCCTGTGGGCAGGAGGGAGATTTTAGGGCTCAGCATAGAAAGCTGAGAAAAAGATACTGGTGGTTTAAACCGCTGGTACACGGCCCCAGCCTTGCAGGAGGTTTTTGTCGCCACAAACAAAACTCTGAGGCGCCGCGCGGCCAGGACCGCCGTTGAAAAAATAAAGTTGACGGCCTCCGAAGTGGTGTGGGTTTCATGCTGACACCTGTGGGCCGATATGGGGTGTACTGGTGCTTTAAACCGTCAGTTCTTCAGAGCCCCTTATCCTGACACTGATTTTCGCCATGCCCTAAGACATCTGAGCCATCTCAGCTCACCAGGCTTTTCGCGATGGACACTTGTTGCAGCCTTCTTACCTGGTGAGTGCTTTTCCAAAGAGTGGGACAGCAACTGGTCATTTGATTATTCACCTATTTGGCCAACCCTGTTTTGCTGTGCTCAACCTTCAGGATCTTTTTGTTTTTCAAAACTTTGTGGCCGGGAAGGCCTGCTAAGCGTGTTGATCCACGCTTAGCAGGGGCCCGGGTGTGAAGGCTCCATCTATTGGTGGGGAGCTGCACCTGCTGAGAACCGGGCCCAGCATCCCAATATTTTTTTTGTATCCGCCTTATCATGGAACTGTCTGTAGACATCAACCGGTGCAGATCAACCCCCCCCGCCCACCCTTTGCCTGCGACGGTCTGTGTCTATAACATTTGTGTAATTGCTTTTAAAACCTACCTCTCCAATTTCATACTTCTCCCTCCCACCTTCTGAGTTCAGTCTTTTGTCCGTCTTAGTCTGTGCCGAAGCCATTATGTGTCTTGACTCATGCCCCTTAGCCTGCCGGCATCAAACTTCTCAATCTTTTTATAGCTCCTCTGCTCTGTGGTCATTGTTGGACGCATTCTGTCACCGATCTGATCCGACCTACCTCCGCCCTACCCTACCTTCCCATCCCACCACATCAGTATTCCTACTCTATTAATCCTTCAGTTGCTTAAACCCTTTTGCGACTTTACCTGCCTTGCCCTTTATTCGTTGCTTGGACCATTACAGTCCTACCTTCCTACCCCCCACATACCTCATCTGTCTCAACTTTGTCTTTGTAGCATTGCTTGTCTGTGATAGTCAGTGCCCATGCCATTCTGTGCCCTTTTGTGCCAAAGTACTCAACCCATTAAACCCTAAGACCCCACCGTCCGGCCAATTTGACCTTCCCACCCCTCATTTATGGCACATCTTTTCACATAACTCACAGGTGCTGAGTCGTTATTGGGACCCAGTCTGCCGTATACTTTTGTGATTGAAGGTGTATTTAGTAATGTACATACTATCGTCCCCCCCTTGTACGTAGTGTTTGTGTTGACAATGTCTGTGTTGTCTGTGACGTAACGGCCAGGCATAAAACCTCCATTACACTGAGGAGCCCACACCGTCACAATTGGCTGTATATTGGCTGTACATCATGTAGACACCGGCTTACTTTCACCTTGCTGCCCTTGGTGCGCGTTGTTGGCGCCACGTGACCGGATCCCTCTTGATTCCCGGTGGAACTTCTTCAAGCCAGAAAGGGGAGTCCATGCTTGGACGGATACCCTAAGTTGTATTCCAAAATTCAATCAAGACTGGCTGGGGGGAACAGAAGGAGAAAGTTTGGGTGAAGTGAGATGGCCGGGAGAAAAAGAGCAAGGGGTACCTCTAAAGAAGAATTTTCACCTCATCTTCAGGGACTGGTTCTCACTTCAGCCAGGAGTTACTCTTAGGATCTCGCCGCACGGCACACGAAACGAAAACGAAACGAGTGCATCTGGCCACGAAAGGAGGCAAAATACACTCGTTACTATTTATAGCAAACCGACGAACCTGGCCATTCTCTGCAGGAAGATGCACTCGTTTCGTTTTTCGTTTTGTGTCCCGTGCTGCGAGGCCCTTAGATCCCCAGAATGTTTCCCTGATCCCTTCCCACCCTCGGAATTGGCAATGGTTGATCTCCAATGGTATGCCTTAAATGATTGAATCAAAAAATAGTCAGCTGGAGTATAAGGATTAGTGCTTTCAGCTGTAGTATAAGGATTAGTGCTGCTAGCATTAGTATGTTTATTTGGCGGCCTCGAATGGGCTGAAGAGGTAGTGCTTCCTTTCACTCGGTTTTATTTCTCAAACTATTTTTTGTATAAGGGACGCTGGACCCGTTTTCCAGCAGGTGCAGCTCCCCACCAATAGAATGGAGCTTGTTAAAATTAAAAAAAAAAAGAAAAAAAAGTCCATGCTTGGACTACTATCTCCTTCTTCCTCCTTCCTCCTCCTCCTTCCTCCTGCGCCTGCAAGCTGTATGCCGTCCAAGCATGGACTTTTTTTTCTTTTTTTTTTAAATTTTAACAAGCTCCATTCTATTGGTGGGGAGCTGCACCTGCTGG